TGCTGCGCCATCCTCATCAACGTGGAGCCGCTGATGCTGCTCATGCACCAGGATCCCGATGTCTCCAGGTTGGGTGGTCCCCTCATCCCTCCCTGGTGTGTGCAGGGGCTGAGAGGAGGGGGGTGGCCATGGCCATGGCCCTCCCCAACCCCTCTCTGTGCCCCCAGGCTGACCCAGCGCTACGTGGATGCGTTTCTCCCTGCCCTCCCGGTGAGTGCCACTTGCATGTGGGGACAGGCTGTCCCCATCCTACAGCTCATCTCATCCAAAATTTTTTTCTCACTGGTTCATCTCATCCAAAATTTCCTCTGCAGGCGGTTTTTGTGTATAACCTGGAGGCAAGATACCTGCAGAACCAGGTGGGTCCCGATGTCCTCAAACTCACCCTGGCTCAGGGCTCCCTTCCACAGTGCATCCAGGGTTTTCATGCTCACTGTTCCCAGTGACAAGGAGCCCAGGTGCCCCAAAACAGCTCTGACTCTGTAGATCACTTCATTCCACAGCCAGCTGTACCCATCCACCTCCCTTCATACTCCCCCACACCAGAGATTTACCTCCATCACACTCATTTTCCAAGCAGGAGACATCACTGGAATTTGGGGTTTTTTTGGGAAAGGCACTGAGAGTGGGGCTGGTGGGAGCTTCACAGCTCCCTCCCAAAACCTTTGGGAAGACCCCTCCATCTCCTCCTCTTTGCAGATGATCATGTGGCCCTTGGTGCTGAGCGGGGTCATCGGCAACCTCATAAACGTGGCTGCAAACTACCTGCTCCTCTTCGAGTTACACCTGGGCGTCATGTGAGTGGCACCTGTGTCCCCTGGAGGGCAAAACAGGGCACCTGGCACTGGCCAGGGAACACTGAGCTCCCAGGGGTACGGCAGGATGTCTCTTTCCACCCTGAGGGAGGCATAAGCAGGATGCCAATGACCTTTCTCACTTCCTCTGCAGGGGCTCTGGCTGGGCCAACACCATCGCTCAGTATTCACAAGCCATTTTCTTGTTCCTGTACATCATATGCAGGAAGCTCCATGTGAACACCTGGGGAGGTAAGGACATCTCCACTGCTCCCTCTGCTTCCTGCTTTACCCAGAAGTGTCCATAAAACTTCTATCAGGTGTTCTTGGTAGAAGAGGAATTGTGCTCATCCTGATGGTGAAACATTAACCCCAGCCCACGGTGCTGCTCCAGTGGCACTCGTCACGCACCAGCTCTGGCAGAGCTCTGTGATCAGCACTAAACATTAATTCTGCAGAAATGAAACTTCCTGCTGAGGCTTTGGGAGGTTCAGCCCCAAAGCTGGATGAGCACAGATGTAAGCAGGAGGTTGTCCCTGGACACAGCTCCAGGAGGGATGGGCTGAGGGTTGTGCTGTTCTGTGGCCCATGGGGCAGCAGCAGAGAGGTTGTAGGTGGACATTGAGCTGCTGGAGATCCTGTGGAGGCTCTGAGAACAGGAATGGTTCTGTTCAGGATGTAGCCCTTGGCCAGGCTGGTCATCCATCAGGTGTTTCTCCTCTCAACAGGCTGGTCCAGCGAGTGCCTGCTGGAGTGGGACAGTTTCACCTCCCTGGCCATCCCCAGCATGCTCATGATGTGCATCGAGTGGTGGACCTATGAGATTGGGAGCTTCTTGATAGGTCAGTGGAGAGGGGATCTACCAGGACACGGCCAGACTTGACCCAGAGCAGCACCCCCAGCCAGCACTGACCCCTCCTGTCCCGCAGGCCTGCTGAGCGTTGTGGAGCTCTCTGTCCAGTCCATCATCTATGAGGTGTCTGTTGTGGCTTTCATGGTAAGGGCTGGTTTATCACTGCACACCAGGGCTCCGTGGGGGCACATAGCAAAAATCCGCTCCAGCAAACCCCCATCTTCCCCTCTGCACTCGAATCTCTCCCTGCTCCTGCCTCTCCCTCCTTACAGAGATGCTTTAAATCAAATCCTGAGCTCCCCCTGTCACTGTGCCAGCCCCATTGCCAGGCACATGTGAGCCCTGTGCTTGCAGATCCCCCTGGGGCTGGGCACAGCTGCCAGCGTGCAGGTGGGCAACGCGCTGGGCGCCGGCAACACCAACATGGCCAAGAGAGCCTCCCACACCAGCCTGATCTGCACAGGTCAGTCCACAACAGCCTGGGAAGGCCCTTCCTGGCCTCATTCCCATGGAGCAGGGAGTGTTTGCAGTCCTCTGCCTGCCTCTTCTCCCACAGGCTGGGCTCAGCTCTGTGCTCTGTTTTCAGGGGTGTTCTCTGTGATTGTGGGGTCCATTTTAGCTTCCTCAAGGAATGTGCTGGGATACATCTTCACCCCAGATAAGTGAGTGCCCCCAGCTCCTGGCCTTGGTGTGGGGAGGTCAGTTCCCAAAAGTGATCCTTCGCTTTCCTCCATGCCCAGGGAAATCGTTGACTTGGTGGCGTGGATCGTTCCTGTCCACGCTGTCTTCCACATGTTTGAAGCCATGGCTGTAAGTCCCAGGGAATGCCTCTATTTTCCACGGGGAACCTTGGTGCTCAGCAGCAGTGTCGTGGATCAGGCAGTTGAGAGTCCCTCAGGCTGCAGCTGAGCACCAGTGCCCACACCAGGACCCTGCAGAACTCCTGGGACCATCCCTTAGAAAATGTTGAGTGCGTAAAATGATGGTGACCCACAGGACTGGGCAGGGACACAGAAACAATGGGCAGGGGCAGGGAGCTGGGTCATCTCCTGAGCTGGGCCAGGGTGCTGCTCCCTGCCCCAGTCCCTCTCCCTCTCCTGGCAGTGTACCGGCAGTGGGGTGCTCAGAGGCATCGGGAAGCAGAAGTTTGGTGCCATCCTCAACGCTGTGGCTTACTACGGTGTGGGCTTGCCCCTGGCAGCTGTGCTGCTCTTCGTGGCCAGGATCGGCGTCATGGGTACTGACCCCAGGGCACTGCACCCCCAAACCCCCCACGGGCAGCAGCATCTCCACTCGGGGCTCACCACAACCCTCGTGCCTGGCTCTGTCCCTCTGCTGGCCTGCCCACACGCTGGGCTGGACTGGGACGGCTCCTGCAGCTGCTGGGAACTTTTACTGGGAAAAATAACCCCAAAGCAGGCAGCCATGAGCACCCCGTGTTCCCACTAGCCTGGGTGACATTCCCTTTGTGGACCTGCTGTCCTGGGAGGCTGGGTTGGCTCTGGCTGATGCTGTGTGCCCTCTGCAGGCCTGTGGATCGGGTTGCTCGTCGCCGTCTTCATCCTCTGCAGCAGCTTCCTCACCTTCATTTCCCGTGTGGACTGGGAGAAGGCAGCCAAGAAGGTAATCCAGGCACTGACAGCACATCCCTGCACTGGGAAGGTCCTCAGTGCCCTGCTGGGATGAGACAGGCTCAGTCTCATGTCCAGTGCTCCAGAGCAAAACCCAGCACTCCCATGACATCCCTGAATTCAGCTTCCCCCTGCACAAGCACTCAGTGGCTTCAAGCTTTCCCCCTGCACCTCTTTTGGGGACACAAAGCTCCGAGCACATCGGGTGACCTGGGCTACCTCATCCCTGAGCATCACCTTGTGCCTCAACACCTCCAGGGAGGCCCCAGGAGAGGCAGCACAGCTTTGCCAGGTGGGAATTCCCAACTAACGCCAGCACATTCCCTTGGCAGGCTCAGCGCCGCGCAGGAGTGACCCCACAGAGGCTGCCGAGCCTGTGCCCTGAAGGCTCCTACAAGGACCTGGATATGGCAGCAGCCCCCCAGCCCCACACTTTCCTCCCTGCCAGGGCTGTGCTGGGGTCTGTCGGTATGGCAGGAGCTGGGTGCTGCATGCAGGGGAGGGTTTGGGGCAGGAAGGGTCCTGAAAGGTTCAGGAACGAGTCCATAAAATAGGAGGTGACACCCTCAGCTGCTGGGAGAGCAGTAATGACAAGTGTGGGCTCGGGAGGGTGACAGAGGTTGGCAGAGGGACAAGCTGTGGGCAGTCCTTACCTGGTCGAGATCTGAGATCTCCAGTGCTCCTAACAACAAAACCCCCCTGAGAAACCCCTCCTGAGGTCTCCCCAAACCCTGTTCTCCTTGCAGCGGGGTTAGAGCCACAGAGCGACATTGTGCTCACGAGAATCACCAGGACAGAGGGCCCCACGTACCAGCTGGAGCTGAGGGAAGCCGCCTCCTCCCTGGCCACCCCCAGGGTCACCAACCAGCTGCTCCTTCGCCGTGCGCTGGCCCTGGTCGTGGCCATCACCACGCTGGCCCTGGGCATCGCCGTGAAGATGATTGTCAGCACGGCCTGACTCCCACCAAGGACTCTGGGGACTCGATTTTGGGGTGAAAGCCTTTCCTGAGGGACAGGCGTAGCAGGAATGGACGAGCCAGAGAGAAGGTGGAGTGCATGCCTGTCCCGCAGGAGCCTCTGTCAGTGTTCAGCAGTGTCTGCGCAGATTCCAGTTGGGAATGGGCCCTGAGGCTGCTCTGGCACCCAAAATGCTGCCCTGAGCTGCCTGGCACACACTGAGTGTGTGGGGGATCCCCCAGCCCATGCTATCACCACCCAGTGGAGCTGAGCTCAGCCCAGCTCCCCCTGCTGCTCCGTGACAAATGGCCAATAAAGAATAAACCCAGCTGGAGTGGGACTGGCTCCTTGGGGTGCAGCCTGGGGACAGAGCAGGGAACATCCACACATGGGTCTCACCCTGCCCCAGGCGGCCTTTGCAGTAAAATAAAGGTTTTATTCAGCAAGGATCGAGGGCAGCTCTCAGTTACAAGTCTGGAGGTAAAAGCCTATCCACAAACTCATAAACCCCTGAAATTCAGTTACAGAGGAGGTGGCTGTGGCTGCTCTGCCACTCTGGCCAAGGATGCCTGAGACCTGGGACTCCAGTTGCAGCAGTGCCCCTGTCTTTGCCCCAATAGCCCCAAAAACAGCAGCACAACAGTCCCTGGCACTTCTCAAATCCTTAGGACAGCATTGGCACAGCTCAGGTGGGTTTTGCCACACCTTGGATGGTTAAAGGTGGTTTCCCTGCAAGGAGCATCACCCATTCAGTCATGAGGCCCTTCAAGGATGAGATGCTGCAGGTTCCTCGAGGCTCCTTTCCCTCTGCTCTGGGGACAGCCAGCCTGGACTGTCCCCTGCAGTGAGACCCTCATTTCCCAGGCTGATCGCTGCCATGAGCAGCTTCCTCTGGGGATCAGGGGAGGTGTTACAGAGATAACAGGCTCAGTAACGACTGGCTTTGTCTAGATACCCTTGTGACAAACACTCCCACGTTCCCAGGAGTTTTTAGAGGAGCTGCTGTTTACAAAGCAGGGTGGATGCTGCTTCCTTCCCTCAGCCACTCACTGCTCAGGCATGATCCACAGACTAGGTCTGGATAGATTCCTGTTTCAGTAGGAGCTGGAGCCTTTAACTTGGGGTGCATTTTTTTGTCTTCTACCTCTTCAGTGCACTGGCTGCCTTGTAAGAAATGAAATTGCAGCAAAGAAAAGTTCAGCAGTAGGAATGCAGGGAGCGAGCAGCGGGTCCAAGGGCTGGCTGCCCATCAGCCCCCTCAATGGGGGCACAACACCTGGAAAGGCACAGAAACAGGGATTAGCCCTCCAGGGAGGGAGCAGAGCTCAAAGGAACGGGGTGATGAAGGGTTAGGAGGGCTCAGGGGACACAGCTGGGAGTACCCAGAGACCCAAACTCACCTTTGCCAGCACGGCTTTCACAGCTGCCAGCAGGGCCGAGATGAACTGTCCCACCCTGCTCCTGGCACACTGCTTCAGCAGGAACAGCTTGGCCAACTGCATCAGCTCCTCGCTGCCAGGTGGGTACCTCAGCCTGTTGGCAACATCCCACCTGAAGTCCTTGATGAGGCAGGAGCGGCGGTGGGAGAAGGTCTCGAAGCTGAACCTGCCGTGGTAGGCGCCCATCCCGCTGTGCCCTGAGGGACACGGGCAGGCAGCTCACACCAGGCTCACACAGCGACACCTGCATTCCTCAAACTCGCTTTGGCAGCCCCCAGGACACAGGGAAAGCTTGGTCATGCTCCTCCTCCTCAAGGCAGAGGAGCAAAGAGCAGCTTTTTGAACTTAGCAGCAATCAGCAAGGACCTGCCCAATGCCTTGGGGTGCTGCTTGTGTGAGCCCACCGTTAAAAGGTTAATGACACCAATTATCTCCTCCCAGGGCCAGCCTTGCTTTTCCCACTGAATTCTCACAGGGGCTGGGGACAGGAGGAGCTGGGCCTATGATTTCAAGGAGTGGGACATGAGGAGGACACAGCAACACCCAAGAGCTCAGCCCTGTGCCTGCAGCCAGGTGAGCTCTGCCACAGGACCCTGGAAACTCAACCAGGCCATGGACAAATCCATCCCACACCCCAGCACAGGAGAAACAGAGCTCACTTGTGTGCCAGGGGGTTTTCCTCTCTCACTGAGTGGCCCAACAACCAAAACACGAATGAGCCTTTTTACACAGCAACCCAGCCCAGAAAACAACACTAACGGGAAATGCAGCTGAACTCCTGAATTGCCAAACGGGCAGAGAGCTCCTGGGTGGGGCCAGAGGCTGCGGCTGATCAATGCAGGTGCGTGGGCTGGGGCGGGGACTCACCCACACCGCCGAAGGGCAGATCTGGGAGCACCGAGTGCATGATGACATCGTTGGCTGTCATGCCACCGCTGGAGGTCTCTGCTATCACCCGTCTGATCAGCTGCCCACAATGGGAGAGGGCACACAACAAATCAGGAGGGGACGAACACCATGTACCACAGCAGCAGGGAGGGTTTGAGGTGATGCTTCCATCCCCCTTTGTGGGGGGCACAGGCTGTGCCTTGTTCCATGAGAGAGGCCACTTTACACCACTAAAGCACAGGATCTGCCCAGCTGATCAGCCAGCAAATGAAAAGGCTTCAGCCCAAGGTGCTCCTCAGCCCTCCCACCCGCACTGCCTGGGGCTGTTGTTCCAGGGCAAAGCCCTGACCTGGATTCCTGAGCTGGCACAACAGAGCCAGGAAACGGGGGCAGGAGACAGGGCAGGAAGCAGCACCCGCCTGTGTGGGTAGAGATGTACAAACCTAGAGCCCTTCAGCAGGAGACTGGGAGCTTCCAGCAGTTCTGGGGACTCTCATGGCCCCCGAAAGCTGCAATTTCCATAAATTTTCTTTATGGAAAAGGAACTGACACAGACCCTGCAGAACTCTGTGTCTTGGATCAGCCATGTTCAGGATCCAGCAGTGCAGAGACACTTCCAGGAGGGAGCACAGCCCTGACCCACCTGCTTGTTGTTGGAGAAGACATAAAGGGCAAGGGGCTTCTCTCGAAGGTTGATGAACTCAATGGCTTCCTCCACGCTCATCACAGTCACAATGGGCAGCACTGGCCCAAAGATTTCCTCCTCCATCACCTTTGACTCCGGGGAAACATCCGTGAGGATGGTTGGAGCTGAGGCAAATGGGAGAATGAAAGAGCAGCATGAGCAGGACACAGACCTGGCCCATCACAGCACCTTGGGCTGCTCAACATAACTCAAGTAAGACACAGACAAACAGCACCCACAAAGCGCCCACTGCCACCTCCCCTCCATAGCACCTATGAAGCGGGACGCCTCATCAGTCTCTCCCCCAAGAGCAATTTTCTGCCCTTCCATCAAGCCCAGGATCCTCTTGAAGTGACGCTGGTTGACGATCCTTTCATAGTCTGGAGATGACTTCACGTCCTCCCCATAGAATTCCTGACAAAATGGAAGAGCAGAAACAAAACAGCTCCAGGAAATCACAGCTGGGACAATCTCCACAGCACAAGGGACTCCTCCCTCACCTTCAGAGTGGCCTTGATGTTCTCCACCACCTTGCTCTGGATGGATGGGTCACACAGGATGTAGTCTGGGGCGATGCAGGTTTGCCCACAGTTCATGTACTTGCCCCACGTTATCCGCCTGTGGCAAGGCAGAAAGGGACATGCTTGCTCCATGCTCAGTCCCTTCCCCACCCCAGCACCTGAGCTGGGCATGCTGGCCCAGAGATGCTCCCCTGCCCTGCTGCTGAGGGCCCATCAAGGCTGCAAGAAGCTGACCTGCAGGCCACAGCCAGGTCACAGTCCTTGTCGATGTAGCAGGGGCTCTTCCCCCCCAGCTCCAGGGTGACAGGGGTCAGGTGCTTGGCAGCTGCTGCCATCACAATTCTGCCCACGTTGGAGTTGCCAGTGTAGAAGATGTGATCAAATCTCTGGGTCAGCAGCTCGGTTGTCTCAGGAACTCCACCAGTGACCACAGCATACAGATCCTGCAGGGCAGGGGTGTCAGGGTCACCCCAACCCTGCTCATCACTGTGACACAGAGAAACTAGGGGACCAACACAGGGCCACACTCACCTTGTCCAAGTACAGTGGGAGCAGTTCAGCCACCAGCTGAGCCGTGTTCTCACTGACCTCTGATGGCTTCACCACCACAGCATTGCCTGCAGGGCACACACAGCACGGTCATGAGCCCTCAGTCCTCTGCCCACACCCAGCTAGGACCCCACTGTGGGTTGGATCCCCACCCCACCAAGGCCCTGCTGGATCCCCACCTGCAGCGATGGCCCCGATCAGGGGCTGCATGACCAGGGCAAAGGGGTAGTTCCAGGCCCCAATGACCAGCACCACTCCCAGGGGCTCATAGCCGATGTAGGCCTCGTCCCTCAGGGTCAGCAGGTCCTTTTTGACATGATGAGGTGCTGCCCAGGATGGCAGCTTCTCCATGGTGAGGGCCAGCGCCCCCAGCACGCCCAGGATCTCTTGGGTGAAGGCATTGGGTCCACTCTGTAACAACATGGAGTTTGGGGAAGGGATGGAAAAGGTACCCAGCTCCCACAGCCACCCTGGGGAGTCAGAGTCATCCAGTTCCATGGTGGGGGACATGACAAAAACCATTTGTCACTACACAGGCAGCCCTTGGCCTTCCTGCTTTGCTCAGGGTTACCCACTGTCCGTGCACAGCAAAAGAGAGGGACCCCCTGACAGCACAGACCTTGTTCAGATCAGCCTTGAGGGCTCTCATGATCTCCTTCTCCTTCTCCTGCACCATCCTCTGCAGGGCCTTCAGCTGCTGAATCCTGAACTCCAGCGGGCGGCTCCGGCCCGACCTGAAGGCGGCCCTGGCCCGGCCCACGACCTGCTGCATCTTCTCCATGGCCGCTGAGCACTGAGGAGACACCGGCCACCCCCAGCTCAGCACAGGGCCATGGAGGCCTGCTCAGCCCTGGGAACACCTCCAGGAGTGCCCCACCCTGGGAGATGTTGTCCTTCTCGTGAGGCATTTCCCCTCTCAAGCTGAGTCTGAGGGCCCTCAGCACCCAAGCCCCGTTCGACCTGCACGGGACACCTCCAGAGCAATCTGGGCTTTGCTGATTGATTCTGTTCTGAGAGTGCTTTCTCCAAGCCTCAAACCCTCCAGCCACTCCACCCTCTGCTCACAGGGATGTTCCCAAGGTGCCAAAGAACAGAGATGACCATGGCCTGGGTGGGCAGCCAGCTGGGAACACAGCTGTGTGCCCGGAGCGGGCCTGCACGCATCGCATCTTCCCCATAACCCTGAGGCCCTCACACGTCTTCACAGAAACACTGCAGAGATTTCACCTGCTTCAAAGGAGCAGGTGAAACTATTATTAATTTCACTTTAGTCAGGATCAGAGATCTGGTCCTGCTTCCCTACCCAACCAACACACCAAGATCCCCTTAGAATAATTAAATCCTGTCCTTCCCAACCCACTGCCACAGCTGCGTGACACAGCCCGAGAAAGCAAAGTGACTCATTAAAAAACGAAGGAAAAACAGCAAGTTACCTTCAGAGGAGCTTCTCTCTCCACCAGCCTCCTGTGGCGACTGCAAGCAGGCACAAGCCCTTCCCCTGCCATGGCTGGGGGCGATCCCTCCTCCCACGGGAGAGCTGGCCCCGGCCCAGGGCTCTTGCTGGGCATCATGAGATGCCCTTTACCCAACCCTGTCCAGCCCTGGGTGGCTGCTCCAGGCAGGGCAGTGACTCAGCCCTGGTGTGGGATGGCAGAGCCCACGTGCCTTTGCCCACGCCTGGCCTGGCCCACGTGCCACAGCTACAGCGCTCAGGATGTAAAAAACCCCAACCAGGCAATCCAGCATGGATCTGAGAGGGGGAAACCAGCCAGCTCCTCTGCTGGCTCACCCTGCTCCCTGCCTGGCTCCAACAGAGCTCTGAGGGATCCTTGCCAGGGTGCCAGGGACACCTCACAACACCTGTGAGCCACTCAGCCAAGCCATGGCCAGAGCTGGGACCAGCAGAGCAGGATTCCTCGGGAGACTGCAAGGACCTACCACACTCAGTTGATTATTTAAATTCTCAGTGTTTATTTAGTGCCTTGCAAAATGTATCATCAAAAAGGCTTAGCACATGGATTTTCACCAGACATGAAGAAATCCCACTTATTGCACAGTAAATATAATTTTCTACTCTATAGTAATTGCATTTAGTAATATTTTTTTCAGTTTGCTTTAACATTAATAGTTCTAAGGCTCTTTCACCTTCAATTCCTTCAGCATCCTTCCCCCAAGCTAGAACAAGCCCCACATAGTCCCCCAGTGCAAGATTACAGAATCCTGAGAAGCTCAAACACGAAGGAGCACACACACTCTTCCAGTAATTGTTTTCCCTTGGAGGAACCTGACCAGGAACAGCTTTGTACTGGGATGAAGTTAATTTTTGTGTTAGACACTAAGTTTCCTCATAGAAGGATGGTGCTGTTTGGGTTTGTGACATTGGGAGTTCTGGTGTTTGTCTTCCCAAGTCACCACTAGGTGTGATGATGCCCTGCCCTCCTGGGGATGGCTGAACAGCTGCCTGATGAGTGGGATTAATGAACAAATTCCTTAATTTGCTTTGATCTGCCTGCAAGCCCAGTTTTCATTTCATTAAACAATTTTTATTTCAACATACAAGTTTTCTCACTTTCTTCCAATTCTCTTCCCTGTCCCACAGGGAAAAAGCAAGTGGCTGTGTGGGGCTGGGCTAACCCACAAGGTATTTGTCATTCCCACTTTTCTGAACAGGCCTGAAAGCTCTTTTGCTCTAGCATGAGACACTCAGCACAACAGAGGCAGCACAGGCATCACCTTAGGAATTTTCTAACTGCTAAATAACTGTTAAAGGCACATGATGAAACACAGAACCCAGCAAGCAGCTGTAGATGATTCTGGATTGCAGAGATGTGAGAAGGTTTCACCTCAATTAAATGGCAAGGGGAACCTCACTGGGTTTATTCACAGCCAAATGCATCAGGCAGCACAGCCTGTCCCAGGCTTGTCACCAGGAGGGTGGGTGTTCAGAACATTCCCAAAACTGCAGGGAAAACACTCTCAGCTCAAGGGCTGCTGAAATTTCAGCTCCTGTTGGTCAGTGAAGGAAGGTGAGTGGTTTGGTGCAGGACACTGTGTGTCCCTGGAAGCTCTGCATGGCACAAGGTGCAGGCAGGGACTGGAATTTCTTGCTCTGCAGTCCTCCTTCGGAGAGCTTGTCCCCAGTGGTCCCTCTGTTCCAGCATGGCTTTTAAGTAAACAGGAATCTGAGCCTTCTCGTGGTTAGTGCCTCTCTAAGGCTACTCTGTGTGCTCGACAGCTCACTGAAATCACCCAGAACAAAAGAAAAGAATGACTTCCCAGCTTAAGGAAACAGACACAAAGCCAGCACCCAGAGCATGATGAGCACACGGTGCCTTCTCCTCTCTTCATCAGTTAAGCACCTGTGAAAGCAAAACACAAGAGCAAAACCCCGTGAAGGATCGGCTGACACAAAACCAGTTCCCATTCTAGAACAGCCTGAAGCAAAGCCCCTTCAGGCAGAGGGTTCCCCAACGTGCAGCTCTCCTGCCCCTCAGCATGCACTGGTTATCTCAGATGCCAGGGAAAACATCGTGCTCTGGCTCAGCCCCACATTCACTCATCTACAAAGCTTTTCCCAATCTCAAACTAGGTCTACACACAGGAGAAGAAAAAGGCTCCTACCTCACTGTGGCAGCCACAGCAGTGCTCTGAAACCTGCTCCTCCTTACCACCCACTGGGCCAGCCCAGCCTCTGCACAGCCAGCACAACCAACAGGGCTTTTCTCTTCAGCACAGACTGGTGGCTCTGAGAAACCCAAATGATTTCAAGATGCCGTGAGATTCCCCCCTCTCATTGCCCTGCACAGGGCCTGCCTCCCTGGCTGCTGCCTCGAGGCCTGAGCCAGTTCTTGGCTCTTAAATCTCCTCCTGGGTTATGTGAGCAGGTTATCTCCCCTGGGATGCTGGGCTGCTGAGTGTCTCCATGCAGCAGCAACTGCACAGACTGAAAGGCAGAGTTCTGATCCACCCTGCCTCCTCCTGTGCCCTCAGGAGCTGCTCCCTTGAGCTCAGTAATCCCCACAGAGCAGGCAGTGAAGGCACATGAAGTGTCTGCTATGTAAGACATGGAGAACCAGCAGTAATTTGGGCTTAGAGATTCAGATCTTGCTCCTCCACCTCAGGAGGTATCCTGAGCCTCCCACAAGCCTCTGCCTCCTGCAGAGAGGAGAGGACATCCCACCCTTCCGCACTGCCCAGCTGGAAACACGGGAGGAAATGGGAATAATTGAGCTGAGGTCAGACAGGGGCTGCAATGGGCCAGGAGGAACAAGAGCTTGTCACAGACCCCAGCTTTGGGACACAGCTTCCCTCCCCAGGGTGCCACGGCACAGACTGCAGCTCTCTGGGCTGTGAGGCAGCTCAAACGCTGCTGAAGGAAGCTCTGGGATGGAAGCCACGCCTAAGCAGTCCAAAACTACCAACCTCTGCCTCTGGAGGGAGCATCCCACGGGTGTCACCTACCAGGGAGGAGCAACAGGGAGTACAGCAGCCTGGAGATCTCTCCGGGGATATTCCTATTCTACAGACAGCTTGCAAGAGTGAGAAGGTAAGAATTTAAGGTGGGACAGATAAATTTCAAGACAGAAAAAGAGGCCAGGCTTTACAAAAGGGCTGCAAGTTGCAAAGAACCGGTCAGGTAAATTGTACATGCACTGCTATAGACAGCAAAGACCCAAAACTCACCTTGATCATCACTGCTGCCACCACCCCCAGCAGGGCCAGGACAAAGAGCCCAATTCTGGCCTTGTTAAACCTCTTGAGCAGGAAGAACTTGGCCCAGTCCACCTTCTTCTGGCTGCCAGGTGGGTACCGCATCTTGTTGGTGCTCTCCATCTTCAGGTCCTTGATGAGGCAGGCGCGGCGGTGGGAGAAGGTCTCGAAGCTGTGCTTGCCGTGGTAGGCACCCATCCCACTGTGCCCTGAGGGACACAGACAGGCAGGGCACTGCTCAGCCTCAGCCAGTCTCAGCTCTGCCCACCTGAGGACAACTGAGCCTTCCCCTGCAGCACTTCTCAGTCTCTATGATGTCCATTGTACTCCAACCCTCTTCTTCCTCACCTCATTTACACCAGTCACTCTGACTGCAGATAATGGTTTTAATGCACCCTTCCCAGCAGGCTCCACTAAATGCTTCAGTCTTTCCAAAAATACACCCAAAGGTTTTTCCCTCCAGGCCCCCATCCTAATGCACTCCCAGAACTTATAATTATTATCAAGACCTGCTGCACTGAGACTCCTGAGCTGTAGGAGGCACAGGGACACCCAGAGACACAAACCATGAGTTGCTGTTCCCTGGGACACATTGTGTATTAAGTCCCAACTCTTAAGGAGCTCCAGTAACTTACCAACACCACCAAAAGGCAAAGTTGAGAGGAAGAAATGCATAATGACATCATTTCCAGTCACACCACCACTGGAGGTTTCCGAGATGACTCTCTTGATTAACTAGAAAAAGAAAAAAACACAAACCAAAAGATTAAAAAGGCTCAAAGAAGAGCCCAGACCATGTAACTGGGAAGGGATATACATTTCAACAATGTTCACCTCCTCTGGCACAGCCCAGACCCACCTGCTTGTTGTTGGAGAAGACATAAAGGGCAAGGGGCTTCTCCCGACCATTGATGAACTCAATGGCTTCCTCCACACTCTTCACAGGCACAATGGGCAGCACTGGCCCAAAGATTTCCTCCTCCATCACCTTTGACTCCGGGGAAACATCCGTGAGGATGGTTGGAGCTGAGGCAAATGGGAGAATGAGAGAACAGCATGAGCAGGACACAGACCTGGC